GTAAACTTTCTGTGTTATACATCTCTGGTCCATAGTAAACTTTCTGTGTTATACATCTCTGGTCCATAGTAAACTTTCTGTGTTTTACATCTCTGGTCCATAGTAAACTTTCTGTGTTTTACATCTCTGGTCCATAGTAAACTTTCTGTGTTATACATCTCTGGTCCATAGTAAACTTTCTGTCTGTTTCTCAATTCCCATCCTGTAAGAGTTTATCACCAACAAGCTGTTCAGTTGTAAGAGTTTATCACCAACAAGCTGTTCAGTTGTAAGAATTTATCACCAACAAGCTGTTCAGTTGTAAGAATTTATCACCAACAAGCTGTTCAGTTGTTTTACACCCGGGCAAAAAAAAATTTCAGGCGAGAAAAAAACACGGTTTTTTTTTTTCAATTCTTGTACAAATTTTACCTGTGAATCCTACGAATGTAACTTTCCTTGCTTTTTTTTTCAAAATTTAACACTGGAATTTGATCGCAATATTATGCCACCGATATAGTAGATTAAGAAACAGCAGTGATTCTTTCTTCAAAATGTTGTGTTAGTGCATTTGAAAAAACAACAAGTAGTGGACGATAATAATTATGTAGGCCTATTCCTTCACTTGTTGTTTTCTCATGTTCCATCTTCGCTGCCATTTTCAAGGCAGCTGTCATTACAGCTCTTGTTCGCGCGAGCTGGGTGCTATCTTATACATTTTTCCTTCAATTTCTGACATCTGGAAGTTTTTTTGTTTTAGTTTCCAGTGTCAAGACTGTTGAAAGAAACTTGCCTTTGACCCAAGAATCACCGGAATGTGTATTACATTTATGCCCGTGTTCTGTAGAATTTCAATTTCAGTTTCATTTTGTACTTTTGTATAATATTTCCACGACTGGGATTCAACGTTTTCAAAGTGATTTATTGCATCAAAACAGAAAAAAATAGTGTAAGTACGAGATAGCACCTAGCTAACGCATTATCTACCAAAGACACGCCATTCAGCATGTTAACATTTATGGTCATAACCTTGCATACATACTATTTTGTAGATTTTCCATTATAACAATTTCAAAACGTATTAAACTTTCTTCTTACAATGTGTTTTATTTTTATTTTCTATCTTTAAAAATATGTTGGTTATTATTTTGTTTTCAGATTTAAAAAAAAAAAGAATATTGTTCTTTGATTTTTGCATTTTCTATTTGTGCAGAGAACAAGACTGGCTTAAATAGTTCATTGCATGATATAGATATAGTATAGGAAATGTTCAGGTTATTCTTTCTCTCAATTTTTGTTCGTATTTAGTGAGAGTTTTACGGCACTTTGAAATGCAACACAATTAGATAATTTAAGTGCCCAAGAATAGAGGTATTACTAGAGAGTAATTACAAACACGGAAAACGAAAGAGGAGAGAAGAACAAACTACGCCAGAGCACCCGCCAACCATCCACCTTTCAAGTTCAAGCAGAGGTCAAT